GACGCGTTTCAGAAAGGCGGGGCATAGAGGAGAAACAATAATGTACAGTATGTGGAAAATAATGTTTTTTGAACCTTAAACCGCATAAACACATTTCATTACACCAAATACACAAAATAATATTCTTTTTAGCAACATCATATGACCCCTTTAATATACTTCTATCAACACACCTCCAACCCTCCCATGCATCCCCCCTTGTGAGTGAAGGCAGTGGATGTTCTTCATTACCACCCACACAGGTCTTGTTTTACATGCTGCAGGATTGACTGCAACTCTATGTTACATAACTAGTTACCCTTGAATGAGCTAAGAAAGTTGAATGAGAGCCCTTGAGTGTGTGATGGTTAGCGGGTTTAGACTATAATATTCTCAAGCCACTGCAGTGCTCACTAAAGTGCAGTTATTGCACAACAGCAGGACTACCAAAGGAGTGTGAATAATTTAAGGAGCAGAAAATGTCTGTTGCCACATGGGTTTTGTGCCTTTCTGATTTTCAGTCAGTGTAGGCTCAGTCTCCATTGTTTCTTCTCACTTTGAGAGGTAAGCTGAGTGTTTATGTGTGGGTTGTAGGTGCCGTGTTTGACTCGAGCACTGAAAGCGCATCTAGCGCTAACACTAACGGAGAGGCTGTGGAGGAGATGGTGACGCCTGTCCGTCCCCGTACTACAGAGGACCTCTTTGCTGCCATTCATAGGTAATGTGATGTTTTCATTTATTTAGTCAGTAAAGCCTGCATTATGCATAAGAAGTAAAAATGTTATTTGGATAAATATAAGCATAAAAACTACTGTGCTTAAAAAGGCAATGCAGGTTAAAAGGTTTACAAGATCATAATATGTATGATCACAATGGATAATTTACTTTATGTGTATATATGAATATATATATAATAAAAAAAGCTTCAAACTGTTAGTTAGTTTCTCTTGCACAACTCAACATGAATGAAAGTTTTATACATTTGCATAAAAAGTATTATTGTATTATATTTGTATTGACCTGTATAAACACCGGACATAGTTTATTCAGGAAGTGTCAGAATATTTAATCCTCACTCATTCTGTTGTCCCAATTCATTTCAAGAAGATTAGTGAACAGATCATCAAAAAGAACTTTGTTTTTGTCTAATAAACAGGGTTGAGCAAACTTCAGAATTTTAGAACTGGCTAATCATTACAGGAAGAGGATTTAACTATGTCTTTTTTTCCTCATAAAGTCAAATTTGGCCATCAAACTGATTTTTATTTATGCCACAGAACATCTCAAAATAAATATTAGTCCATATAGTGTGTATGTTTATAGATGTTATGTTTATGGGTTATTCATACTGAAAAACTAAATGCATTATTAAAAACTATACTTTTAGTCAACTCTATGTACAATTACAGTAATTATTACATTTTAATTCAGCTTTAATACTTCTTTAAATTCAAATTTAATTTTAATGTGCACAACCCTGACAACAGATGAATCAGTCTATTCATTCTCTCATCAGAATCAATATGAAATGAATAATAATACATTTAATAATACAATATATTTTTAAGAAATAATAAATTAATATAGAAATTTTCCATTTATACAAACACATTTTTACATTTATTTGTTTGTGTGGTGCATCAAAGTTCTATAGTATGCCTTTTAGTATCTCTTTGTATTGAAATATTATTAATTTATAATATCCATGACCCTGGTATTTTGGATGGTCTGGACAACGTTTATTATACCGACTTTTATGACAATCTTTTAAACATTCAATTTTAATGTTATTAGAGTTGTATCATGTGTTCATGCGTTTTTGTTGAATCATTTGTCTAAATGTGTCGTCTGGAGCAGTCTACGTAGACAGAACATGAACATCCAATTACAGGTGGGGATTGGACTGGCAAGTAATCAAGTCATTGGCTGGTGTTGTCTCCCTGTAGTTTGGCTAGGGTCAGATTACACCCATAATCCAGTAGCTCCAGTAAGAATTGATTATCCTCTTTTTTGCCCTCTCTAATCCCCAAGCTCTGCTTCACAGTGTTTGTATTGTGGTGTCACACCTTTAGTTAGGTTAAAAGTTAAATGGACTGTGTATTTCAACCAACCTGAAAGTAAGCAAACACAGAGCTGGGAAGATTATTCTGGTATGACTGTCATAGTGTTTTAGGACAGAACTAAAAAGCACATGATGCACTGTTATTCTTAGAAGTTTTGTCATTATTAATTTCTGTGAATCAAAGTTTAATGCCTAGAAAGAGCTAACATCCAAGTGCTCCGATTATACAGCCTTAAGGGAACATGATGTCCTGAATCTTAAGGAAACATGGCGTGTTGTAGCCATTTAAGAATGTGTATTTTTAGTTTATATTATTTATGTTTAAATATTATTTGTTTGTGTTTTGTTTTGTTCAATTTGTTAATTAAGAAAGAAAATTGTAAACGTCATACGGACGGCAGTACGCCGGAAGAAAGGAAGTGGGTCAGACATAATTTTTTGACCACTTCATACGTTTTTGTTTGTAGAATCCCTTTTTTGGAACGAGTTTCGTTTGGTATAATTTGTATCTTAATTGTAATTTGTTTTTTGTTGGTCAGTTATTTACCTAAATAAACAAGAAGAAGGAATAAACGTTTCGTGGAATGAAGTGCGTTCAAGACAAAGCCCGCTACCATGCTTCTGCGGCCAAAACAAAGGCCAAAACAAGGCGATAGATGTGGAAGTATTTAAATGCAAAGTTATTTTCTAAGGGTATAGCAGAATACAAAAAGTATTTATCATAACTCATACAAGATAATAAAAGCAATAAAGTAGTAGTATCTAGTTCTGTCGTATCTAGTAGACAGTAGTAGTATCTTTCTTTTTAATCTTTAAATATGAAAAGCACAATTTCTATCATCTGAATTGTGAAAATGACTGTTTTCAAACAGGTCTCCCAAGTACTCCCTCTATCTGCCATTGGATGAACATCTAATAGTCCCGCCCCCTAAACCTGTTTGCCGGTACAACAGCCATAGCCGCATTCCCAGTGGGCCAATGACTGCCATCTGCGAAAAAGAGGGAGAGACGGTCGAGTCTACAGATTGCTGCATTAGCGCTGAGAGTCATTTTGCCCTGCCCATATCCACCAGCAGCATGGTCTGTGCTCAAGGCAGCACTTAGGGCTGTCAACTAAACCCTAACGGCTTGTAAAAGATAGCTGTCCATTCAGTATGAAGACCGCAGAGGTCTAAACTCTGGCTGGAAAGCCATGCTTGTGCTGGCCGATAGCATTCCCCAAAGAATAAGGGAGACGAAGGAATGGGGGAAGTTTCTGTAATTCTGTAACCGTAGTTTTGCTCTTTTTATGAAGACCGCAGAGGTCTAAACTCTGGCTGGAAAGCCATGCTTGTGCTGGCCGATAGCATTCCCCAAAGAATAAGGGAGACGAAGGAATGGGGGAAGTTTCTGTAATTCTGTAACTGTAGTTTTGCTCTTTTCCGGGAGTGAAAGCTTCTTTCATAAAATATTAGTGTTCTCAAAAAATGTGATATTAACAGAGGGTTACTGGTTTTGATGAATCGAATGTTCTTAGCTCGCTGTATGCAGGTTAGGAGAATAAGGAAATGTACATTACCTTCTTGGTGGTAAGTTGAGGGATGAATGAATGGAAGCAGAACATCATTGAGGGATTTTGTATCGAATGGTCCATGCTGATGTGTTTCTGCCTCTGTGACAATGGAAGTACCCGACCAAAGTGAGCACTTAAACTCTAAATTCACAGAACCCACATCCAGATCACATTCGTGGAAGAGGTGGTGTCAATTAAGTATTGGCACTGACTGTATGGTTACGCTGAAGTTGCTAAAGAGTGAGTGTGGAGATGACATGGAGATTTTAAGAAGTGCTTAGAGAGACTGATTTAAAATATGTATATTTTACGCACCTTTACATTTTTCATTTCTTTTCAGTTGTGTCTAACAATCTTCAGTTAGAGCAATGAGAGAGATGGGACTCTATCTTAACAGAACGTTATTCAGTTAATGCAAGCCAATTTAAACTAACTAAAATAGATTTTTATCTGTTTACAGTTAGACAATAATAATAGTTCTCTATACTTTAACAGTGTAAATAATCCAGCCTTTACAAAAAACAGTTACCAACCATTCTGTTTCATTTATAGAAACTCAAAGTGTCTATTTAGGTCTCTTTATTCTTTAAAAGCTGAGAAATTTCTTGCATTTGTCTGTCTCACATTTACCCAATATGTCAATTTGTACATTTTTATATTTCTTATTTACAAAGGGGGGTACCGTTTAGTCTGTTTACTAGTACTACGTGCACCTGAATGTTCTTCTTCCCATAGTACTGAACACCAGCAGAATAGAGAAATGGTAAAAGGCAGTGTGAGATGCAAGTGTTTCTGTGAAAGAAATAAAATATGGCATTAATCATAAACAATCACTTGTTTTCTGTGAAATACCTGCATATTATTTTTGATCTACTTTATCAGAGCTTTATATTTACAGCAGTGACTACATTAGGATGACACACTCCATTGACGTAATAAAGGTTAATCACATCTGATTGCCATTAACCTTGCTGAGATTTAACTGAGATTTAAGTTCTTGCCTGGCCAAATATAGGACAATCTACATTCTGCTCCAGCACAAAAATGTCCACATTGCTGCAATGATGTTAGTAGTTTACTGTGATGCTGTTTTTAACCATTAAACTACTGTATAACTACATAAAACCTGTGAAATTGCTATATGAATGGCCAGAGTATGAAACAGTGAGTTTTTAATATGGATTACCAATTAAATTATTTATTTATTTGCAGGGTAATTGCACTTTAGCACATTAAACTGCATTTCAGCACTTCTCCAAATGTCAGTACATGTGGGCTGTCGGCCAGTGATGCAAATAAGCCGCAGACATGTAGACATGTGATCTCTTACGCAATTAAATCTGCCTTTGGATGAAACACCCTTAGTCCTCAGACAGAGCGATCACTGATGTTGATGGATGCGGAGCAACTGAATCAGGGTTGTTTTATACATTTTAACAGGAGGACGTTTATTCTATTAGTAGCAAGGGAGATTTAATAATATTGCTTAAACACAATTTTATTGGCTATACATATAGGCCTATTTGCACACCTGAGTTTTCAACCTGACAAGACCCTATACTAACAGGTAAGTTACTGTGCTGTAATAACTTTAACTTGACAAACTGAGTATTTACATGTCTTAGCAATCCAAATAAGGGAGTAGCTTTAAAACAGCTAAATTCAATAGCGCAATTATTAACTTTTACTTTTAAAGTTACTTCTTTTCAGGTAAGATTTCTTAATGTAATTGGCACTTGAGAAAGCTCTATATGAGATTTGCCCAGACCAAAACATTTGTTAGGCCTACTCTGCAAAACTTTTTTAATATTTGCTTTTAAATATAAAACATTTATATTACATTATAAAACATCTTAACATCTTATTCTTACATACATAAATAGTTACAAGCCAAAGTGAAAAGACTTTAGCATTTTATCTCTCATTATTTTAGACATGTTTTTAGAGTTAGCAAGGTTAAGGCCTGCACATGGGAAGATTTAAATTGTGTCCTCATCCATCTGTAGGCTAAGCTAATTCTCTATAAATAATAAACAGTCAAATGAAATCTCAAATGTTATTGTTTGAAATAACAGTCATTCAGAACTGTCAACAGTTCATTTTTGGCAGCGAACAACACAAGTGCATGTGACTATTTTTATTTTTTTACTACCGTTTAGCTTTTTCGAATCAAGTCCACGATTCTTTTTCTTTCTTTTTTGGTCACATAGGACTGCCATAAAAGTAATAGCCTAGTTTCCATTCAGATGAAGTAGCGATTTAAAAAAAAAAAAAATTCTCCAATCTAAAATGACCGAACTACATCAGAGGATTAAAGGAACCCATTCCTCGAAATGCGTAATTTCCACTGATCTATATATATATGAATAAAAAGTAGGCCTATTGTAGCTTTTATTTCTTATTAGACTGTATTTAGGCAACTATATTTTAAGTTTTTAGGCAACACACATTAAGTGTTTTTTTTTTACCTGTTGTTTTGTTCTTGTTAACTAATTTTTCAATTCTAATTTAACCCCTAGGACAAACCCCCAGCAAACATAAATGGAAATTCTCACAAGGTTGTTCCCCTACACAAAAACTGTGGCAGGACTGAAGACAGCTTTAACCCAAGTCTTGCGGTTTAAGGAACCGACGGCGGATGCCAGCAGAATGGCCACTCATCTTCCATCCGTTAACATCCACCGGAAAAGCCAAACATTCCACGTGCAGCTCAGCCCCCCCTCACCTGGAGCGCGCTGATGCAGAGGCGCAGCTCACGCGGGCTTGTTGCAGCGCATTTGGCGGGAATTGTTTGTCATTTAATGTCAGTAACGGTCGCTGATGAACGGAGTCTCATTGGTAAATCACTCAGTAAAGGTAAATGTGATGTAAGGACGGAGGTCTTCGTCTAAGATTATAGCCTACACGTAACCTTATTGTGTTACTGAAAACGGAGATTGTATGGTTTTCTAATTGCTGTACTATTGAGAATTGAATTGTTTTAGAGATACCACTTGGTGTCAGTAATGAGTCGTTTATACTAGAAAGCTAGTACATGTACAGGGATGGGATGGAATGGAATACCTGCTTTATTCTTATTTAAGGACTGTGTTGTTGAATGGTTGAATTGTTAAACGTGACAAATAAATGTGACATTTTATGTTTTAAGCATTTCTTGTGATTTTAGCTAATAGAACGATCTCATACAATTATGTTTTATATACTGGCGTTCAAAAGTTTGGGATCAGTAAGATTTTTAATGTTTTTTTAAAGTCTATTCTCATCATGGCTGCATTTATTTGATCAGAAATACAGAAAAAAGTAATACTGTGAATCATTATTGCAATTTAAAATAATGGTTTTCTATTTTAAAATACTTTAAAATATAATTTATTGCTGTGATTAAAGCTGAATTTTCAGCATCATTAGTCTTCAGTGTCACATGATCCTTCAGAAATCATTCTAATATGCTTTATTATCAATGTTGGAAACAGTTTTGCTGCTTCATGTTTTTTGGAACCTGTGATACTTTTTTCAGGATTCTTTAATGAATAAAAAGTTTAAAAAAAACAGCATTTATTCAAAATAGAAATCTTTTGTAACAATATACACTACCGTTCAAAAGTTTGTGGTCAGTAATTTTTTTTCTCTTTTTTTTTTTTGTTGAAAGAAATGAATGTTTTTAGTCAGCAAGGATGTGTTAAATTGATAAAAAGTGATAATGAAGACTTACATTGTTAGAAAAGATTTCTATTTTAAATAAACGCTGTTTTTCACCACATTCTTTAAATAGTGGTTCTATTTAGCCCCCTACAGTCATGTAACAACTTAGTTAAAGATCAAAGAATAATCAGAGGTTATGGCTAGCACTATGAAATATGCTGATACTTAAATAGTGTTTTTATCTAGCCCCCTATAGTTAATCTAACTATATGACAACTTGAATAAAGATAAGACAATAACCAGAGGTTATGGCTATGAAGTATGCCGAACCATAGTACTCCAATAGTATTTTGTCTAGCCCCCCATAGTTAATGCAACTGCATACCAACTTAATTAAAGTCAAGCAGTTATCTCACCTGCTGTGCCCCATGCTCCATCTAACCTGAGATCTACTTAACCCTGGACGCAGATTTGCGGAAACATATGCCTTCACTTAATCTACTTGAGAAAATATTTTCAGAGTAATTCAGAATAAAATCAAAGGTAACAATTTATTATCAGTCAGGTAAATATGTATTATGACAATTACATAGTCAGTTCAGAGATATCAAATCAAATCAATACAAAGACATAAAATTCTCAAAGATAAATCTAAGAGTAAAAGATGCATACCTGACTGCAGGAAAAGCCATAGGGAGTGTGTGAAGACAGAAGAGCCCCGATCTTCTTGCAACATTCACTTAAGTATTCAGACCAAGACAAACATCCTCCAAGTGCATGTGTTTCCCCAGCCATTATATTAGGGGGGCGGCTTTTAAATAAAGTTAATTTTATTTAATGATATTTTCTCTATAGCGCCAGATCACAACAGAAGTCATTTAAAGTTACCTTTCCTATAGAACAGGTATATACCTTGTTCTTTTATTAAGCAAATTAAATAGCCTTATGTTATTTATCTTATTTACACGACGGCATGTCATTTCGGTCTCTACGTTATGGTCGCGCTCTCTGCATCACGCACAGCGGAGTTCCGCCCTATACGCGCGCGCACACACACACACACACAAGTGAGCCCACTCCCACTAGTATTTGTAAATATTAAGCCGCAAAACGATTCATATTTAAATATGAATTCTGCGTGTCTCTGTGTTAATGAATGGCGCAGACGCGCGGTTTTGTGTTGTACTCGTACTGAAACGCTCAGTGACGCTTCCGGTGATTTTAGCGTCTGCCTCTCACTGAATGAGGACATAAATACATGAACAACATCTCCAGAACTGCTCTGAGAGTCACTTCATGAGCATTTGACCGTTTCATTTGAGTAAAACTACCATCATGTCATACACACACAGAAATGTAAAGGCAACCCGTCAAAATAAACGTTCGGTTTAACTTGAGGGCATTGGCAGAAACATATTACTATTGTTGAGTAGAATGTACGTAACTGCTTACTACTACTACTAAAATTATTAAAACCTTATTTTTAAGGAATAGCATACAATATTTCTTAAATGTTTTAATTGTAATATTAAATTACCTTTATTTTCCAAAAAATAAAATTTGTTTAATTTTCATTACTTAAAAGATGGATTAAATGAATGTTTTATGCCTTTAAAAAAATTTAAATTCACAACACAGAATTTCTGAGCAAAAAATCATAAGGCTATTGTAAGAATAAATGAAACTTGTTTTATGCTTTCAAATAATTAGACATGCTAAAACAGAATTTGGTTACAATAAAACATAAGGTTGGAAAAAATAAAACATTTCATAGGGCCCTAAACATGTAATATTTGTTAAACTTTTAATAAATTGATGTTAAATTGTTTAAGTTTCATGATTTTAATTAATTAGACATGCTTTTTGATTAATAAAATGTAATTTAACCATCAAAAAGCAGTCCAGAAAAAAAAACAAAAAACGAACTAACTTAGAATTTGCATTGATCAAGTCCTATGGAGAGTTTAAACCTTTTGGGGACAGATGGTAATTTGCATGAAAGACACTGGGAAATGGCACACCCACAGTGAGCAAAATAGGCAAAATAACCTTATACAGAATATAAGGTTCTGTATTACCTTTTAATCTACTTCTTGTAAGATTGAGACTGTTGTACCAGTTGCAGAGACAATTCATATGATGCCAAACATGACTGTGAATATCACTTGCATTCATGTAGAACATTATATTTTGCTGTTGACCATTCTGAGTGAGCTAAGTGAAGGGAGATGGGTGAGGGGAAGGAAGTGGATGAAAATGATAGGTGAGAAAGTGAGAGAGTTTTTCCCACATCTTCTCTCAGTGAGATGTCGAAACGGATGTCTGTACCAGTATTTTAAATGGTAATTTTACAATATTACTGTATTTTCTGTATTTTTGGTCAAATAAATGCAGAAGACTTCTTTAAAACGCATTACAAAACTTACTGATCCCCAACTTTTGACCAGCAGTGTATATAAACTATTTATTTATATGTACCCACTCACTAGCAACTAAGGGATGAGTTGCTAACTATAGGCCTATGCAGGATTTGTGGTTGACTTTTGATCTGTGATTCATCTGTAGAATCATTATAGTTCCTGTAATGCAATGAATTTCTCTGAATGCTAATAATAATTAACATCTTATGAGGTAAACACAACCTACGGAAATCAGAAAACATATAATGTAATGTAATAAATAGGCCTAATGTAATTTTACCTCATCTTGTCAGGCTGTCAGGATTTTTATTAAAAAACAGTTTGTTAAAATTTCCAAAGGGTGCCGCGACTAAAAAAAGGTTGGGAAACACTGGCCTAGGCTATGCCAGACGAAGTGTGACAGTTCCTGCTGTGCCTTATTGACTCTTTCGCGTCACTGGTGTCTGACTCGAACTCCAGGAGTCCAAACCAACAACTCTGATATTTACATAAAGACTTACTGGGGGTGGAGAGAAGACGTCTTCAGAAGTCTCAGTCGTGATGGCAGTAACACGTTACAAATGCGGACATTAAACCTCAGTGAAAGATCAGTGCTCGTTCTTACTGCAAGTTTATTTCGGGATACAGTATACTAGCTAGATAGCTAGGTACTTCATAGAAGCAGGCGAAATGAACACGGACGGCGCATTTCGTCGGTTTGTTCGTCCACTACAAAGACATGTCTATTTTATCCTTACTTTACCGATCTTTTTCACAGCCTTTACATTTTTCGTGGATGTCTTTACGTTACACATTACGCCTTGCAGTGAGAATATAGCGAGCAAGTCTTTGAACCAAACAGTGGACACTACCGGTAATACCTTCAACATCTCAACAAGTTGGACAGGCAATCACAGCGAACTCACACATGTGAGTAACAAATATTGCACAACATATAGCCTATTTAAAGCCCAGCACGTATTCAGTGCATTACACACTGTATCTGTTTTGCAGCAGAGCCTCGAGTGTCACGAGGCGAATCGTTTTGCTCACGGGCAAGCGACGTACATGACGGGTTTACTTATCGGCTCTGTATTCGGTGGCGCTGTATCTGACAAGTTGGTATTTTTGCCCCTTTTCTGTTTTCGACGTCAGACTTTGTTGCTACTAAAGAGTAACGTGTATTTTCTCCCTCTGATAAGGTATGGAAAGAAATTACTTCTAATCTGCTGCTCAGCGGTCCACGCAGTTGCTACTGTTGTAGTGGCATTTCTGCCGTATGTGCCCGTGTACTTGACTGCCCGCGGCATCAGTGGAGCAGCCTGCTGTGCCATTCACATCTGCACCTACAGTTTAGGTACAGTTAAGCTTATGCGTGTCTTCTTATTCTGTATGAACACTGTAGGACAACAAATAAACAATTTTAGTAGCAAGGCAGTTGTTTTTCTTCTACCTTGTAAAATAAACTAGAACAACGATGGTAACTTGCCTAGTCTTGCTCCTGCAGAGCTACTTTACTTGAACTAACATATTAAACATTTTTATTGCTATTGCAGAATGTATTATATAAACAAAAAATTATATATATATATATATATATACATACACAAACACACACACACAGCGATCAAAAAGAATTTTATATATATATATATATATATATATACATATATATAATGCGCACAACAAAGATTCATTTTAGATTATAACACAAATTAATTTATAATGCATAATAAATTAATTTAAAAGTGCTTCTGATTTCTCAGGTGTTGAATGGAGCCTGCCCAAGTATCGTATCTGGCCACCCACCCTGTTTTCCTTCATCTTCAGTCTGGGAATGATGGGATTGCCGGCCATAGCTTTCTTGGCCAGTGGTTGGATGCAGTTTCATCTGGCACTGGGCATCCCTCAGATCCTCTTTCTACCTCTTTATTTGTAAGTAGAACAAACACAAATTTTCAATGCGTGTTAAAGTGTGTTGCATAATTAAAAAAAAAGTGTTTAGTTATTTATTGATTTATTTACTAATTTATTTTTCTTGCAATTATTAGCTTTCTTCCAGAATCGCCTAGATGGCTGCTTCTAAATAAGAGGATGAAAACACTAGAGGGCTATCAGAACAGAAGTCCTGAGGACAAGCACTACTTGAGTCTTGTAAGATGCAAAGTCATACTCTAGAATTGTTCAAATGTTTGTGGAAAGTGGAGAGACATGCCATTTCAGCATACTTTGTGCTAACATGAATTGTACATTCCTTTGACAGCTTTTGGATTCAGTGGACAATGAAATCCAGAAGCCCCTCTCAGAGAAGACCTCCACTAAAACAGAGTCTAATTTCACCAACTTTACATCACCTACTATACTCCTGCGTCTGTTTATCATGAGTTACATTGGGTAGGGAAGTTTAACAAGTGTATTTTTTCTAAAACATTTTATTCTCACTTTATGAAGGTACTTTTGAATGTATGTGCTGTATTTTGACACAGCACTGGTGTTTTTTTTGCAGATTTTGAGGATTTTAAGTATGTGGCACAAAGGGAGGTGACCTTGCACCTTAAGGAATGTCTTACTTGAGATCGTTTTCAAAGCTCAAAGTAAATAGCTTGCCTGAATGATGTAACTTTGAGGGGCTGTTATATACAGTATATATATATATATATATATAAACCCAGTGGCAAGTTTGTCTTCTCAAGTTAGAGACTTATTTCCTCTGTAACTATTGGCAATATCTGAACAAATTTTATATATATATATATATATATATATATATATACA